ATACAAGCCGCCTAGCCGCTCCTTGTTCATGCGGCAATGCAAGGTGAGGAGAAAACCCCCTTTGCCTCTCAAACCCAGTCTACCAAGTATGCCAGTGCCTCAACGGAAAAACTTGTGTAGGCCTCTGATGATCCGGAGATGCGACGCCTCGTCCGCCGGCCCGAAGCCAAGCCCAACGATGAGGGCAAGGATGCCTATTACACCCGCTGCCGGGAAATGCAGCCGGCGCAGCTGGCCGCATTTGAGCGGACCTACAAGCGTCACCGTGCGCATCTTGAGAAGTAAGTCTTCCGAATGAGGCGGAAGACCAGCCGGTTCGCACAAGCTGTTTCGCACTGATGCCGTGCACGGACCCTCGTTGTTGCGTAGCGAGCTGAAACGGGCCGCCTTTATGGCTGGGCTCTCAAACATTGTGGGCTTGAAGATGCGCACTACGCCAGTAGTGGCACGAGAGTTGCAAGCCATGCACCAACAGGGCCAGTCACCTGAAGAGGCTGCAGCAGCATCCCAAGCAGCGCGAGCGCCAGCGGCGTCACAGCGGTGATGTGCCTTGGCCGGGGCATCAACCTCGTTGACACCGCAGAGTACACATTAATTTGACTTGATAACTACTTCAAGCATGTCATGGTTCAGTGGGTGTCGTTTGCCTTTTTGCATGTAGTGCTGCAAGGACTGTGTTCAAATCTGCTGCAAACATTGTCACGTGCTCAGCCACGCAGCGGGGGTGGCTCTCGCTCAAGGACCGCAGTGCACAATTGGGGGCCACCGTTTCCAGTGGGGAAGAAGAGGATACCGGGCGCTCAACAGGGGTCGCCAGGGGCCAAAGACGCACCAGTCGCACAAGTTGAACTCGGCACATTTCAGCATCCAATGTGGCCTCACGCGCTGATAAAGCTCCATGGCCCACATAAGCGTTTGCAATGGGGGGAGCCAGCTCTGGTGCTTGCCATTGCAGATTGAGCGCAAGACTCGGCAAGTCGAGATGGGGGGCAGTCGCCATGACGGCTACCAACGTGAGCATGGTGTAAAAGTCCAAAAAGTCAAAGGAGCAATTGGCGCGAATCAATCGCTGACACTCGCACTCGAGCTCAGACGGGCTGAGGAGCTCGCGCAGGTCGCTCAGTTCGTGGCGCGCAAGCTCGAGATCCTCCATGAGCGTGGTCAGCAGTTTGTCGACGTTGTGTCGATTGATCCAGTTGTGGTTAATGGACAGCGTGGCTTGCTCGTTCAAGACCTGCAAAGGAGTGGATGCGAGCGTGTTGGCGGCGTGTGGGTGAGGCCAGACGTTTTCCAATTCACATGGACGCGCGCTTTTGCAAAGATCACCGACCTCGTGATACCAGCCCGAGGGAACAAACAGCAGCTCCCCTGGTCCCTGTGTGATCTGCAGGGTGTAGGAGGCGGCAGGACGCAGATAAGGGCAAGCTTGAAACATCAATCAAGGCTGGATGCAGCATCTTTGCACAGAGACGGACCAGCATGGCGCGTGCGTCAGCACTGCGCGGGAAGCGTGCCTCAGCATCAGGCTCCTGCAAAACGGCAAGTTGCGAGGGCAACTGGCCTCGCTGGTCACGCAGGTCATCGGTGTACCGAGGCGGGATCATGATCCAACGCTTGCGACCGAGCACGTTGTAGGACCAGCTGAAGGAGCCCATAACATCAGCATGCAGCGGTGTGCGCGTGCCAGCTGCACCGAGATAGAGAAAGCGGTAGTCGTCGCTGCTGCGACCATCACCGTATCGGCGACGATAGTCACAGTAGAGGTTGAGCCAGTCAACCGTCAGCCAAGCCGGGGGCGCATAAAGAGGCTCTGCCTCGCAGTCGGGTGTGTTGCCGAGCTGTTCAGCGGCATCCAGCACCCAATGCCAGTCCTTGAGATAGCGCTTCTGATCGGTTTCGACAGAGCCGAAGCAGTCTTGAATGTACGTCATGAGCTCAACCTCGGTGCACTGGCCCTGGAGGTCCACACAGGGACAGCTGGCGTCGGGAATGAGCTGATTGATGGCCACAGCCACCGCTTCAAGGGCCATGACATCCGCTTCGGCCGGGACCCCGCAGGTCACCTCGTCCGCCAGCTGCGGCACGAGCTCGCAGAGCGGGCTGAGCTCAAAGTCAGCACAGCAGCCATTGGTAGCATTGTCCCGAGCAGTCCCATTCGTCTCAATCTGCAAACTACTCAGCCCCAAGTCAACCCCGGCCAGAAGTACCGGCCGCCCGCCACCCTCATACGCCAGCGCCTCCACCTCATCAGCCCTCGTCATGCTCGTTAAGTAAAAATACCACATGAAGTCTCTGTCTCTGTCTCTCTCTCTCTTTCTGTATCCGGATTTGTAATATTACTTGTAGTAATTTTGCTGTGCGTTATACTGACTTACTCCTTCCTCTCTCTCTCTCTCTCTCTCTCTCTCTCTCTCTTTCTCACGGATTGTCAGCATGGCGGATTTTACCGTTGCCTCCTGCTGGTGCTGGTGGGGGACCCTGCTGGTGCTGGTGCGTCTGCGTCTGCTTCTCCTTTTGCTTCTGCTGGTGCTGGTGCTGGTGCTTCTGCTGGTGCTGGTGCTGGTGCTGCTGGTGCGTCTGCTTCTCCTTTTGCTTCTGCTTCTGCTGGTGGTGGTGCGTCTGCTGGTGCGTCTGCGTCTGCTTCTCCTTTTGCTTCTGCTGGTGCTGGTGCTTCTGCTGGTGCTGGTGCTGGTGCTGCTGGTGCGTCTGCTTCTCCTTTTGCTTCTGCTGGTGCTGGTGCTTCTGCTGGTGCTGGTGCTGGTGCTGCTGGTGCGCCTGCTTCTCCTTTTGCTTCTGCTTCTGCTGGTGGTGGTGGTGCGTCTGCTGGTGCGTCTGCGTCTGCTTCTGCTTGTGCTTCTGCTGGTTCTGGTGCTGGTGCTGGTGCTGGTGCTGGTGCTGATGCTGCTTGTACTGCTAGTACTGCTGCCTTCTGCTGGTGTTGCTGGTGCTGGTGCTTCGACAGCTGGTGCGCCCTGAGGGGCTGGGCTGGCTGGTAAACGCATGCTGGCATGTGGGAGCTGGTTACCCAGTCAGCGTTGCTGTCGCCCGGGAAGCAATGCTGTTGCTGAACCCTCGCGCATCAAGAAGCGTTGGCCGCCATGCAGACCCGCAAGGTCAACGCGACTGTGCACGTTGGTTGAAGGGGTAAATTGCCATGGCCCAACCGGAAGATCTAGCTGCGCCGGTGCCGCTGGCAGAAGTGATTTGCCGACGACTGGGCCAACACGCCTCGGCATCTTCAGCTGCCTGTCACAGCTGCGCTGACCTTACTGATCGCCTCTTTGCAGCGGGCCGCCAACTCCCAGGTAATTCAAGTTTTTGCCAGAGTTTCGCTCGTGCCAGGCCGTGCTCACCTGCCCACTCCCCACGGCTGTGCGTCTACGATCGTGCTCTACCCAGTATGGACAGGCTTTGGCAATCTTTTAGATGTTGGATCGACCACTTCGTCCATCACCGACGCGGAATCATTTAGCTTTTGCCACCAGGCATGTTGTCTTCCACCAACGCCATCCCTTGCAGCGCTGGCCGTGCCTCAACTGCGGTTGCTCATACCCTGCCAATCATCATCCTACACAGCTCAAGCATGATTGTGGACTGGGCGGCCGGGCTTGGCTTCATACTTTGGTTTTTCGAGCACAACCAGCTAACGCTGGCGCCACGCCTCACGCTCAGCCCCTCACGACAATACTGGAAGCCTCGCATGATGGAGAATCTTGGCATACACTCGGGCAGATGGCTATTGCACCCACCTCGACGGGCATGCAGCATCGGCTCGCGGTCCACGCAAGCGACGACTCGACAGGTCACCGTTGGCATCGTATTTCTTGGGTTGCCGCCCCGCGATCATCAGTACGCTTTGCTGGCGCACGATAAGCTCCACCTCCAAACCAGCGACATGCTTCTCATCCCCACCCTGGTGGCAACTATGCAGGTGGATACCCGATCTCTTTGGCACATACACCGGGTTCAGTTGTGGTGCCACCGATTACAGCCAAGCTGCATCCCATCCGGCACGCTCTGCACCATGCGTTTATCAGCACGTCGTTCCGCACTGCACGGCAAGGTAGACCCCGGCCATTGTCATTTTTCACTCTCCACCTGCCAACACTTGTGGCGATATTCCGCAGCGGCTGGGATCTTGTGTGCTCACAAACAGGCTTTCTTTAGCCCAACGTTCTTTGGCCCGTTCCTAAAGCTGCGCCGTCTTTACGCGCCACATGCTCGCCAGCCAACGGCGCTCTCCTCGTTCGCGTTTCAGCTACGCACGAGCAGATCACCGGTCGTCAGTCCTCGGCTCTCATTGCCGAAGACATGTCCAACCCAGGCAAGGCCTTGGCTGGTCGTGTTTCAACATACAAAATTCTCGCATCGTGCGAGTGTACTCAATGGTTTGGATCGTCGCGGCAGGCACATTTTACGTTTTGGTGACGGCACGAAATCTACCACTCGGCCCTTTCCCTTGCGTGCTCCTTCTGACAGATTACGATTTGGTTTTGGACACGCGGTATGCTCGCAATCATGGTCTTCAACTCGAACCAAACCCACGCCTGCTCACGCCACTCACGCCACTCACGCCGCCCTCGTGCTTCACTTAGGCGGTGTGCCTTAAAGTTGCTCAAACATGTCAATGGGCCATCTTTGCCGGCGCAATTCATCTTTGGTCGAACAGCAGTGCTTCTCGACGCACCGCCACCTCCGCTCACCCGTCACCCCGTCACCAGTTCCCAATCCACCCTGCGCGTTAAAGGCGTAACTGAAGCCTTTCCCCTTGTACGGGGACAGGAAGGCGTGGCTGTCATGCTTGAACACGATTCAGGAAGCCCCACCTCCCAACTCCCTCTCCTTCTGATCCGTTCGCCCCATCTGCATTGGCGCAAGGTCTGTCCGTGATTTGCATTCTTTTCGATCAGAGGTTATCATTTGTGTTTTGTTTTCATTCACATGGCCAGATTCTGTTTTTCTTCGCCTTGCCACGTATCCTCATCATTGCTTGAAACTTTGGGACTGTACGACAGCAACTTCATGCCGGTGCCCTTGTGCGTGTACATGCTACCAAAAAAACCTCAGTGAGTGCCGGGGGAAATCACATCTTCCTGGCCGAGACAACGCGACAGCGTTCAATGCTGGAGATTTTGGCGCTCGATGTGCCAGCGCCCCCACCTGGCAGCTCGATCGCTTGGGCAGAATTAGCACCTGGTGCCATCGCCCCCACATTTGCTGCGCGCATCGTCCACTGCGCTCTGGAACGCGGCTTCCTTGCCCTCGAATCCGGGCTCTTCCTGCTTGTTGCACATGCCGTGCTGCCGCTGTACGCCACTTGTCTAGTGCCGGTGCTGAGCTGCCCCGTGTGATTCTTCCTGATTTTGCTGTCTCCCGGCTCGTCCCGTCCATTGATGCCGCAGCTTTGGCGCGGCTCTTTCTGCCGGTGCTACCATCCGCATCTGTGGTGCAGTGCTGGTGGCAAATGTAAACGACGCCTGCACGCTGGCCATGTTCTTCTACAGCACGCTTGAGGTAAGCTTGGCACTTGCCTCGATTTTGGCATTTCAGCCTGCATGGCCCGATCACCCGTGCACACGTGCATGCATCAAAACAAGAACGAGGTTAACTCGTGTTTTCACCGCCCCCGTTATCCTCACTAGGTCTTAGACCTGGGCCCCAACCAGAGGACTGTCATCCACGGTGGCTCAGCCAACAGTCTACCCCTCTTGGCGTGCGTTTTAATTTCATCCGATGAAATCTCAACCAATGCATTCTCCAGGGCGGACTAACCTGGCTTTGTTCCTGCTAATCTCTTCTGTGTGCACGGAACACACGTCGTGCAGGTGCCTCCAACGCTGGCCCTGGCGGGCGCAGATGCGCATGCTGGCAACCTTGACCATCCTGGAACAGGAGCTGTCAGGGCCAGCACGACTCCCGTGGGCTGAATTGCTCGGCATTGAAGCGACTACACAATCGCGGCCTTGTTTGGCCGATGTCTTGCAAGATTGTCTGCAGCTATCCGGCTTGAATATCTTTCGGCGGCAGCTGCTTCTGGAAATTGCTTTTCCCGAGCAAGCCATGCAGCCTTTTTTGTGGGTGGTCCTTGCACAACCCCGCTGCTTCCGAATATACCTTTGCATTCTGCCGTCCTCAATAGTGTCTGCCTTTGAACGCACCTCCCTTCTCGTTGCGTTGGCATTCGTCCGTGCAGGGCTTCAAGCGGTCCCAACGAACCACCCGAGCTTCACGCGATACCTACTTTGCATCAGGTAGCACAGCAAGTTGGAGTCCGCTCTGATTGTTTTGATGCCGTTTCACTTGATCTAATGGCATGTTGGTATCCACCTTAAACACTAGCTGCCATTGCACCTCGAACATCATCGTCTGGTTGTCGGACAAGTGTTCTCGCAACAGAATCGCTTGCTACTGCGAGTATCTGATGCATCGGTGGACCTCGACTTTGCGTCCTTGTCGCCTTCGGACATTGATGCGTGGATTCTGATCACCAAATTTCGCTTACGCCCGCTGTTGCAGCTACCTTTCACCCAGACGGTACGCTCCTTGGCCAGAGCAGCGACCATTGAAACTCTTCAGTTTTGGTCCTGACCCTGGACTGCTTTTCTCACCTGTGTACTATGTCCGCACAGAAGCATGAGGTCATGTTGGTTCCGACGAGTTATGTCAACCTTTCGCAGCTACCTCTACAGTCCCAGCCAGCCGCGTCAAGACGAGACTGCCCAACATATGTTGTGGAACAGAAAACGCAAGGCGCTGAGGCAGCATCGCCCGAGATTGTGCTTGTGCTCACGCCTCTCAACCCTCCTCAAGTCAGCTCCCCGCCGACACCATGTTGTGTCCATCCGCTTTTGCTTAAACCATTGTGTGCCTCACGGTCTGGTTGGCCTTGATAGCGACGACGCGTGTTGTCATTGCGGGGCCCTGCCGCGTGCGTGGGACACTGGCCTGTGATCGGGTCACACCTATCTTTTTCCGCCAACTCTTTGTCATCAACCCCCGATCCAAAAGTCAACACCAGTTTACACATATCCCACCCTAGTGATTTAACAGTATGTTTGCCAACAGAGCCTGCTGCCATTCCGCTTGTATGTGATCTCATTTTTGTACCCACCGGGGCGCTACAACCACAGGTGATACAAAGATGTAGCCCCGCCACGTTCACCGGCGTGGTTCATGTCCGAGACGGTCTGCTAGGACGGAAACTCTCCTCCTCAACATTTAGTTTGGATTATATCAACGTCTTGGGACGACTGCTAGAGGTGGCGGACGCCACGCCGGACAGCGGTTCGACTGGGCAACACCTTATGTTGAAACTGGCCGATGTGCGACCGCAGTTTCACGACGAGCTTTGCATGTACATGGCCAAGACACAAAAGCATAAGCTTGGTGCTGCGATTCCCTGCGACGCGTGGGTGATTTTCCGCCGCGTCAAAAGGCACATTAGTCACCATGGGCAGCTGCGCCTCTGCATTGGGGCCGTGACTGAAGTCGAGTTTGGACCATTTCCAGATGCCGTCTGGAAGGGTGCCATGGGAGATATGCCAGCCACCGCTTCACCAATGCAAGGCGCCCGAAGCCTCTTGGCAGACCTGTACGCATTACTTCCAAGCCAGCACATCGACCTGAGAGCGCATAGTTTGATGTGCCGCATTCTAAACGTTCACGTACGGATATCCACTGCAGCCCCTTAATCCGTATGCTTTTTGTGCGACTCGGCCCAAACGTTTAGTGGACAATCTACTCCTGTTGTGGCCGCGACCTTGTTGCAGGTGAAAGCAAGCCTCCAATGCACGTCGTGCCAGGCCGAGCTCGCGCAGAGCCAGTGCACTGGCGTTGGTTGCGGGCAAATGGGTCCAGGTGGACTCGCTCTGTGGGCACGGTGTACTCTCGAAGACGGCACAGCCACGGTCTGGTCTTGCTTTGCGAGATTTCGTGAGGATGAATGGTATACCCGACTGACTCGACATTTTGACCGCTGTGGTAGGCGACTGCTTTACTCAGTCATGCAGCTTGCTGCAAACTCTGGGGCTGGAACGAGCAACAGCAAAAAAGGCTTTGTGATGCGTTAAATTCGTGAGTATGATTGTATGGGGTCTTTACGTTGTGCCGTGTTGGATCACGAGCTTATGGGTCTCTGTGTGGGTGGGACGTAACTTTGGCTCATAGGTCTGGAAGTTTGACTTGTAATTTGACGGCTCTTGGCCTGTCGCCGCATGCTACACAAGTGCAATTGCAACGTACGCACGACCTGGTTAGCTCGTGCTTGTGTACGTGCTTCACACCTCGCACTCATGTTATATTTGGGGGCAGTGGCAGACCTCTTGATGGGCAAGCGCCCTGGCTACATCTGGCGAAGGCTTCATTTGTGAGTCCTGCGAATCATGCTTTGTTGATTGTGCAGCATGTTGTGCTGATCAGCTCACGTGCCTGTGTCTTGTTACGATGCTTCCCAGGGTGGGGCGGCGACGATATCAAGCCCAACAGCCCCTGACTCAGATCGAAACCATTGAAGACGCAAGCTTTGTCAAGCAAGCCATCGAGGTGATACACCATGTTTGCGTGCTCACTCTGTGTTTTGCTTCATGCAAGGCGATACCCTCAAAGCAGCATCAACTCACGGATCCTCCCCCCCCCACCCTCCTCGATCCAATGCCTTTTTCGTGGTGTAGCGGCCGTATCCAATCACCCTGGAAGTCCTGACCATTCTAAACTAACCCCGACAACTTGACAAGGGAATTGAGTATTTGACAAAAGATGCGAAAAAAAGAGAGAGAGAGGGGAGAACACTCATTGGCAACAGCAGTTTTCAACGAAATCCAGATCGCAATGGCGAGCTGGACGTTGGTGCCCGCAGCCCGGCGCTTCGCCGTCGGTACGTGACCGCCTCGAGCCCTCTTCCAACCTCTTGCAGTCGGCCAGTGATATTGGCCGACGGACCAGGAAGAGCAGGGTACTTGAATCATGGATGTTCTGCGAGGGTTTGGGTGATGGGTGGCGGCCGTTGTTGTTGTTGTTGTTGAGCTCGACGGGTTGTCGCCGTTGGCGGGGCTCAAAAGGGCGTTTTGATGCTCCCGACCAACATCGCCCATTGCTGCGGACGGGCCTCAAAGAAGAGAAAGGGAGGCTGGGGACCAAGGGTCTTTCTCATTGAGTGATAGCCACCCTCCACGACCGCATGGTTGCATTGATTCCGCCACCGCGTCTGACTCACAGTGGATCTATGTATGTGTTTGGGTATGTGCTGTTGGCAGTGGTCTGCGATTACCCCGGCGTTGTTACGCCCCACGATTTGCCCTTGGAGCTGGGTAACATTCTAGAAGTTCTGGAAGAAAATGGCGGTATGTTGGTTGTTCCTCGCCGATTAGCAACCCTTCTGGCGCTGACATTGCCCACCCCCTTTGTGGTCTGCTGTTTTTTTGTTTTTTTTTTCATACCTCACTGATCTCGATGCATGCCATGCGATTGCAGAATGGCTGCGGGGCCGCTTGAGCCAAGGCACTCGCCTGGGCATTTTTCCTCGCAACCACGTCCAATTCTTCGACTCTGCAAAAGATGGAGGGCATCGTGGGTCCCAGTACTCACTGCAACGCCAAGAGCCGCTCATTCAAGAGGTCCGCACACCATGCTGTCGCTCGCCCTCGGCCGAGTCTACACGAGTAGATCGGCCGTCCTCCTCCTCTCGCTCTTTTTTGGAGACTCACTCTTGGGTTGTGACGCTGCTCTAGGTGGCCACGGTTCTTTCCGAGTGGAATTCGCACCTCAAACGTCTTTACATGGTCCGTTCCAGCGGCCCATACCGCAAATTTCCAACCCGCCAAATTTGTAAACAAGTTCACATTTGCATCTTATTCCACCACGCTGTTGGATCGTGTCTAGTCCGAACACTTGCATACCTACGAGCAATTGCGAAAGGCCGTGGAGGAGCTGGTCGCGCTCCGGATGCAGTTGATCCTGGGCAATCTCCCCATTGATCATGCCAACGCTGTCAAGTCCAAGATCACGGACAAGATCGACTGGGGCAACCAACAATTGCATCTCGACCTCATCCCGCGTGACAAGACAGGTGCCATTCTTTTTCTCCATGCAGTGCGTTTTGCACGGTACATCTCACCTTGCGTTGCTCGCCTATAGGCGCTGTCATGACCCCGGAAACCAGCGGTGTGATGGAATTGTACCATGTGCACAGCGAGGTGTGTCGTCCTTCAGATGATCTACGATGGGCCCAGCCGTCTCCTGGCCCAAGTTGCTTTTCTGTTGCTGCCTTTTTTTTTTTTTTTTGGTTCTTGTTTCTGTTTTTTGAAGGCAGACTCAATCAAAGCTCGTTGGGTATGACAGACGGCAAGCATTGAGCGCAGCGCCTCCGTTAGCTTGGGCAACTATCGTCGCAACACTCGTGGTTGGTACCTGGTCTGGACTGCTCGTGTTTGCACGACACACTTTTCAACGTATCCTTATTCACCTCCCGCGCCAATGGAACAGCTGCGTCGGATCATACCCCAACCGTGACCACGCTCAAGCATCTGCTGCTCAAGCACGTCATTCTCATCTGCAGCACCGGCGAGCCCCTTGAAGTGTCATATCGCCTCTATGACCCCAAGACCATCTCGGGCGACGCTTCGGATAACAAGGCGTCAATTGGTGGCTTTATCAACGAAGGCTTTCGCGTTGCCATTGATCGAGCTGGTGCGCCAGAGGGTTATGACGACTTTGAACCTCCCTCGACCGTGTTTACAGAGCTGTCCATGCAAGCCGGTGAAACCGAGGGCACGACCGTGCCTCGGGATCTGTACCTGGTGGCTCACGTCTGGCGTCGAGGCCAGATGGACCCTTCCAAGGCCCGGGGAGAGCAGGCATTCCTGCGCCCGCTGGGCTGCGCGGTGCTTCCCCTACGTGGCTTTATGACACAGAAGGAGTCGGAATCAGAGGTTGAACACTCGCTAGATCTTTACCGCTTCACTGACGAGAGCCAATTTTCCATGATGCACGAGTACATCATCAAGAAGGATTCCAGTCGCATCGCCCGCCTCGATCAGTTCAAGGGCTTTACCGTCAAGCTTCGTCTGCTGTCGGGCTCTTTGGAGCAAGTGCGGAAGGAGAACCCCCTCGTTTTCAAAAACCCCATTGCGCCACCCATTGGCTTTGGCGAGATCATCAGCAACGACCCGCGCAATGACCTCTACGTCACACTGCTCAACGCCGAGTTTGAAAAGGGCAGCAAGACGACCCCGCGCAACGTGGAAGTTGTCATGACTGTGCAAAAACACGACGGGAGCTCGGTCCCCAATTGCCTGGTGGTCGGCGCTGGTGCCGAACCAGTGACAGAGTATCGCAGTACCATCTACTACCACAACAATCAGCCCATCTGGAATGAAACAGTCAAGGTCAAGGTTGATTTGCGGGACTTTCAGAGCGCTCATATGAAGTTTACCTTCAAGCACTGCTCGTCAGGCCAAGACCCGTACGTCATAACCACACCCGCCGTTTTTGTTGCCCGCCTCATATGGCCCTCAAACCCGCGGTCACTCACACCGTTGACTTTTCTTCTTGCAATGTGTCTGTCAATTCCAGGAACAAGGTGGTTCCTTTCTGCTTTGCATTTCAGCCTTTGATGGAGAAGCAGGACGGTATTGCCATCATTGATGGCCCTCGAGAGCTGTTGGTGTACAAGTATGACAAGGCATACGACGTTTCGGGCAAGGGCCTTTACCTTGCCAAGTCTCACGAACTCAAGGTTTGAGCCGCATCTTCTGTCCCCCCGCAGACTCTCCCTGCGCACCTGCAAGAGCCTCTCCACCCCGCCTCTGCCTTACCAGACAACTGCGTGTCTTCCATACTCACGGGGCCATGTTCGCTTTGCCTCTGGCTCCAGCGTAATGTCAAGGATCGCTTTACCATTAGCACGCTGCTCAGCTCCAACAAGCTGACGCAGAACAGCTCGCTACTTCAGTTGCTCCGCTGGCGACAAACGACGGATGACAAGGCTGAAAATCTCGTGTGTCCTTCTGGTGCCTCTGTCTTGCTCACCGCCCTCTACCACATCTCACATCCGCCCCACGTCCCGTGCGCTTCTTGCTCATCTCTAGAAAGCCGCGCTCAATGGCATCACCTACGGCCTGGAGGCCGTTGATATCGTCAAGTTCTTGACAGAGATCTTTGATGCTGCCTTTGGCATTCTTGACAAGTTCGTTGCGTGTGCTGGTGTATTGATTCTTATCAGCCAAATTGTTGTTTGATGTTTCAGTCATGCCATCCTTTGCTTGATGTTTCTAGGTTTCCGCAGTTTGCTGAAGATGTCTTCCGGGCTATTGTTCAAGTGCTGTCGAAGACGGATACGGCTAATCGGCTCTCCAGTTTCAAGACAGTTCTGGACACATACATCCGCAATGACTTTACCAACCCAGGCGTGCATGAGCATATCATCAAGCAGCTGCAGAACCACATTGAGAAAGCTCGTGAGTCTTGGACCGGGTGTACACGAGTCTTGCCCCTCACCTGGTTTCGCTTTTCGACCACCGTATCTCAATTCAACACTTGTTCGGTGCCCTCGGCTGTGACTTAGCATCCAACCCGGAATTTGCACAAAACCTCCGCACTGCCTTGAAGCAGCTTGATCATCTGTTCAAGTTTATCATCCGGGTATGCAATTGCCTCTTTTGCCTCTGAGGCCTGAAGTTGCCAGTGATTGTGATGCCCTCTTCTTTCTCTGGAAAAGCGGTGAATTCGTATTCTTATAAGGAGTTTGCTTGGTACCAGTCCCGCAAGATTCAGCTTCGTGGTTTGAGTCGCCAAAACCGTGGCCGCCAAGGCACTGCCACGGCCGATCACTCTGCTTTCAAAGACCTGCTTTATGCTTCTTTTACGGCCATCAACAACATGATGATTCTGGAGGAGAAAACGCTCGTGGGCACAAAGGACTTGCTCTTGCAACGCTATGCCTTTGTTTTCCGGGAGTTGAGCGCCGTTTTGTCTTTGGGCGAGCTCGCGCAGATTGCCAGCGAGTAGGTTATCAACCCCGGGCTTGCGTTTTTGCATTGCGCATTTGTTTCAAGTTTCAAGCGCGTTACAGAATCCCAACCGAGCTCACCGGCTTGCTATCCGGTGTGCAGATTCATTCAAAGCGTTAATGACAAGGCCAACGATAAGCTGACGATCCACAAGCTCAACTTTATCCGCGATCTCGTGGATGTACGTTACCCATGCGCCGCAAACGTGCATGCCAGAGCTGTTTCTCATTCAGTGCTGGTTTCATGGTTGTGAAAATATTGCAGAGCGACATCTACAACAAGCGTGAAGGCCGTGCAAAGTTGAACCCGGTGCTGACGGACATTGTTGAGACTTATCTCAACAACTGTGAGTGCTACACAATGATGGAACAACTTGCCCAAGTCAAAACTGACGCATTTTGCCTCTGCGCTTTGTTTGCCGTTGTCTTTGCCGTGATTATAGCCACGCCAGACCAGCTTGAGTCCGTCCTGGCAATCACCGATAACATGCTGACAATCCTGCACAAGGCACAAGACCGTACGGATGAGGACGTCATTGAGGTACGGTGGCGGTGACTCCCGACCATGCAACTCGCTGGACCTAGCTCATGTCTGTTGTTTCGACCTGGTCTGAACGCAGCTGGCGCGTTCGATGCTGATGCCATTGGCACGCAAGTGCTTGGCCAAAAACGTCACCACCGCACACAGCCGCAGCTATTTGACAGCCTGTCTGTGTGCGCTTCTGCGTCTCATGTCCACCGTCAGCTTCCAGCATCTGTTTGAGGAGCTCAGCACCAGTGAGCTGCACGATTTGTTGGAAATTCTGTTCCAGGCCTTTGACAAAAACCTGCAGCAATCCAATTTTGCACGCGACTGGCTTGTGATGCGCCTGGTGCTGTGCGACGTGATTTTGGACACCATCAAGTGCCTGTCAGATGCCTTGATCAGCAAGTTTGGCGACGGACCAAACTTTGATCTCGGCCTGTGGCAACTCTGCTTCCGGGTCTGCAATCAGTTTGTGATTCAAACAACCCTCCAAGTCGAGCTCTTCTCTGAGAGCAAGCGCAAAAAAGTCTTGGCCCACCGAGGTGATCGCCGAGAGCTCATGGCAAACCAAGTGCTACTCCTATGGAACACGCTGGGACCCAAGAAGGTTCGTGGTGGTAGAGAGTGGCGCAAGGCGAATCAGGGTGTAATGTAGTCGGCGAATTTCAAAAAGGGTTCATCGCGCACATGCTGCTGGTGGTGACGCCAAGGCTCAAACTTACTTCACCATCTGTTCACCTGCTCATTGACTTAGCAAAACTTCATCCCCGGACTGATTGGCCCGCTGCAAGAGATGGCCTTGGTGCCTTCTCGGCCGGTTCGAAAGCTGCTGATCCCCGTCTTTTTTGACATGATCCAACACGAGGTGGCTGCCGACGGGAACTTTGACAACCTGCAGCAGGAAATCATTGACAAGCTTGACTCCAACGTCAACAACAAGGGCTCGGGAGATCAGGAGTACGGTGATCTCCTTGAGCGTACTCTCATGGTGGGTCTTTTCCCGTCGTTCCTGGGAACTTTTCACGCGGGGCAGGTGCTCAACCACATTGATTGGCGCTGGAAACGATAGACACTGACCGAGAGCAGCAACAACGCCGTCCTGACGGCTGAGATGCCAGCCTTTATCAAGGACGTGCGGCAGCTGCTGGATCTTTTGCTCAACCTGCGCGACGTGGTGAGCGGTAGCAACCATCACCGCGACCAACTGGCAGGTAGGAATTGCTGTTTATTTGGATGTGGATGCATCACTTTTGTTCAATCGGCCCTGGCTCGAAGCAAAACATGGGCATCGTCTGGCGCTGATGAATGGGCGGCGTCTCCTCATCGCCTTGCGTGCATTGAACAACTTAGGCTGCTACGTCGAGTTGATGCACTTTTACAACAAAACCAAGCGCCGCGACATGTACCTGCGCTCAGCAGCCAAACTGGCCAAGATTCATCGCGAGGAGGGCCAACACATTGAACGCGCCTATGCCCTTGCCAAGTTGGCAGACACGCTGGAGTGGAACAACACCAATGTGCCCGCTCTGAAAGACAGCGACGGCAAGGAGGTGTATCCTGCTCAGGTGCGTTGCTTTTTGCTTGCTGCTTGGCCGTGCAGCAAGTGTTTCGGCTACGCTAGCCCTGCCCGCATCAAGTCGCTCGCTTGAGGCGCTCGAAAGGACGTGATAACAGTGTGCTCCCCCATCACGCGTCTCATTGCTTTTGGGGACCTGCTATTGATAGACGGCGCGCCAGCGCAAGACGTTGTTGTACAACGAGATGATTGACGCGTACAACGAGGGTGAAGCCTGGGAAAAGGCTTTGGAATACTCGCGAGAGCTGGCCCATCAGTACGAAGACGAAAGTTTTGATTACAAGGCCCTCTCCACTTTGCTGACCAAGCGTGCCAGCATGCTGGACAAGATTACCGTTGGCCGTCGGGTGGAGCCTCAATACTTTCGTGTTGGCTACTGGGGCATGAGTTTCCCATCCAACATCCGCAACCAAGAGTTCATCTATCGTGCCAAGGACAAGAATGACCACATTACCACTTTCTGCGATCGCATCCAGGTTTGTAGACCATGCAAGCTCTTGACGCTCCAGACCGTGTGCTGCGAGCCAACTGACACAAAATATTTTTGGGACATTGCGCTTGACACATTCTTCTCGTGCAGAGCCAGTTTCCCAAGGCACAGCTCTTAATGTCCCCCAAGCCCGTCACGCAGGAAATGCAGGAGGTAGTGGTGTTGCCCCGCATGCCATACCAACTTGACCGAGCTGCCTTTCGCCTTCCGCCATTCACATCCTGTTGGATGTGTGCCGTCCCTTTGGTGGGTGTAGAGCGAAGAGCAGCGGATCATGATCTCCAAGGTGCAACCTGAACCCAGCGACGTACTGGGACGCTTCAAGGTGAGGCCACTTTGGGTTTGCTCTGGTGTCATTGTTGTTGTTGTCGTGACGCACGTTTTGTGACTGTACTCTTCCTTCTTACGGCGCTCGATTTTTCCTTTTCTTGCGCGTATTGGCAGGGAACAACGGTGCCCCCGGCTTTGCAGGCTTACTACAAGCTGAATGAGCTAAGCCGCTTTGTCTTTGAGCGTCCGATCCAAAAGAACAAGAAGGACGACAACGAATTTCGCAATCTCTACGTTGAAACCAGCAAGTTTGAAACGGCCTGCACGTTGCCTTGTGAGCAACCCCGCGCCCGCATCATCAACACGGAGATTTTGACCAGAGGCCCCGTTGAGAACGCCATTGTCACGATGGAAAATACCAACGCGGACCTCCAAGCCATCATCATGGTGTGTGCGTGAAGCTACAATCCCCTGTGGCGCAATTGTTTCCCATCCCGCAAGTTTCACTGTCAACTGATTTGGGCCATCACCCTTTGACTTGATTGATTTTTGCAGGAGCATGCGCAGGACCCATCTTTGAACATCAACCCCCTGAGTATGAAGCTCAACGGCATTATTGATGCCGCTGTCCAGGGTGGCACTGAAAAGTATCGCGAAGCCTTCTTCAGTAATGATTTTCTCGAAGCCAATCCGGACCAGACCGAGCTTGTCGACAAGCTCCGCCATCTCATGGCTCGCCAGGTTGGGAACGTAGCCTGCTATTGGTGTCACCAAGCTGCGCATTGTGTGCCATGTGCTCAGAGTAGGGTTGTTTCTTCTCTTCTCATCCTTGCTGATTTGCTGTAGGTCAAGATTTTAGAGCAGGGCGTGCAGGTTCATGGCAAGATGTGCTCGGCCGAGCTCAAGCCCTTGCAAGGGCGCTTGGAAGAGATGGTACAGAAGATGTCCGAAACAAGCCAGGCTGATTTGAAGCAGGCCAAGTCATCCTCGACTGCATCCACCCCGCGACCCATATCGATGCTGTCGGATAGCAGTCGTCCTCGCTCTTCGGTTGAATTGCGTGCCCCCCACACGCATGCAGACCAAGCCGGTGGGTACTGTGCTTGCATTTTCCGATCGTTTGTTTGTTTTTTTTTTGCTTTTCTCTGCTTTTGTGGAAGAGCGGAGCTCGTGCTCACGGTGATCTGCCTTGGAGCGTAGCCTCATCACCGGCGCCACCGAAACGCGGTTCAATGGTGCGCGGGAGCCCTCGTCTGATGGTCAAACGCAAAGAAAACGAGTCCACGGCTGCTGCCTCTGGTAGGCTCGCGGTGATTTGCCGTATGCTTCGAGAGAGCTTGCAACTGACAGGATCACTTGTTCTTAGGTGCTACAGAGGCCCCGGCGCCATCTGCCGGTGCAAGTAAGCCCACCACAGCGGCGCCTGCAAATCCAACCCCGGCGACGCCTGCATCGCAACCTAAAGCGGCCCCGGCCACACCAACCACACCGGCCACACCGGCCACTCAGCCAAGGGCGGCCAACTCTGCGGGGCCATCAACGCCAGCTACGCCGGCCACCCCGGCGGCTCGAACCACTCCGGTAACCCCGGCGACGAAGCCAGTCGAGGCAGAAGCGCCTCCCAGCAAGCCTTCGCCCCCCAAGACCAGCGCGCGCCCCACCGCGGACGCAGAATCAGCCACCTCACGTGGTGGTACCCCCAAAGCCGCACCTCCCCCGCGCCCCCCCAAACGCAACTCGTCGATGCAAGAGGATGATGGCCCATCCACAAGTGGCACACCGGTTGGTATCGTACCTCCATGATTCTTCCTGTGCTTGTATGGCCATCACTCGCGGTGACTGCGACGGTCAAAGGCATCATTGCTGGCTCACATTGCTTGATTTCATCAGAACAAGCCTGCGGTTCCCACCTCGGCTAAGCCCAGCCCTGGCATGTCTCCCAGCAACCCTTTTATGGCGTAAGTTTGCTTCCTTTTATGCCCACTTTTCCAAACTTTGGCGCATGTGCCGTTCTTTGCATCAGTTGTGACCAGTTGCTGATTGATGATGGGCTGGCTGTGTTGGGGGTGATGCTGATCATGCCGTGTTTGTGCGATTCAAATTGCTCTAGTCAAGCGGGTGGCTCGGCTCCTCCTGTGCCAACCAAGGGCCCGCCCCCACCCCGTCCGCAGGGCAACAAGCCAAAAGTAAGACACAACCTTGAGAAGTGCTGTGTGCGGCCTTCCACTACCCTGCGTCTGACGTGATGCTCGTTCGGCGCACCTAGCTGCCTAGCGTGATGGATGGCCTCAAGACGGCGCAAGCGCCACAGCCCGCCTCTCCAAAGACCAATCCTTTTCTCGAGTCCTCCACTGAGAGCAATCTCAGTACCTCCCAGACGAGCACGGGACCTCCGCCCCGTCCGAGGAGCAAAAAGCCCCAGGTGAGTTCATAGCGCTCTTTACATAATCATGTCGCTGTTCTCGATTTTGGCTCATGCAATATGTGTGCTTCACCTGTGTGCATAGCTGCCTGGCGCTGGCGTAAGCAACCCATTTGAAGAATCCTAATTTGAAGCGTTGACCTTTTTGGGCATTCGCCCGAGAAAGACTGCGTCCTGGTCGTCCATGGTGTTTTCGTGTTTTTCTTAATGCCCACAAAGCATCCCCATTTCAATTCATTCCATTATTCAGCCTTCTGTGCCGAATTTCCATTCGCCCCTCTGACTTTTTTTTTTCCTGAGCAGGGGTTTTCCAAGCAAGCCAACTCATCACGAAGTCATTCTCTCTCTCTCTCGCTCTCTCTCTCTCTCTCTCTCTCTCTCTCAAACTCTCAAACTCTCTCTCAAACTCTCTCAAATCTCTCAAACTCTCTCTCTCTCAAACTCTCTCTCTCTCTCTCTAAATCTCTCTCTCTAGATCTCACTCTCTCTCTCTCTCTCTAAATCTCTCTGACTCCCTCTAAATCTCTCTCTCTCTCTTCTCTCGTTTTTTTTTTCGGACCGACTTGTCACGCAAACTTCCAAGAGTTTGAAGACGGCGGCGCGGACTGAGACAGGATGCAAGACGGTCAAGTGAAGGCAGAGGAAAGGTAGCTTGGGTTGGGCAAGAAAGTGGTGCCCATTGCTGCCCGGCTGCTGAGGAGGGGGGGGGGTTATGATCAAGGACCTGCAGCAGAGGGGTTGGCCGGCATGATGCATTCGCCTCGTGGCTGGCTTGCCCTGGTGGTGATTGTGCTCGGCTGTGTTTGCGCCCGTGCCCAGCTGATCACCCAAGGCTGTCCTATGCACCTCCTTGAAGCTCGCGAAACCCAACACTTTTCGTGCTTCAACTGTACCAATGACCTGATCGCCCTCCGTTATGTGCCCCACTATACCGTGTGCACCCTCAAGCCGGCCTACGAAGTGGATCCGATTTGCAAACGCCGCGTCTTCTGGACCCGATTCGTGTGCATGAGCAACAACATGTTTGAGCTCGATTCGAGTGGCAATATAAGTGACGTGTATGCGCGCGCGGGCTGCCAAGTGTCATTCAACGCATCCGACGCCTCAGTCAGCCTGATCTGCGATGGTCAAACCGTCGCAGGTGAGGATAAGCTGTCAATGATGCCCTATGGCGGAGCACCTAGCAACCTTAAGAATCTGATTATTCGGCATCATCGCCTCGCTGACATCGCGCTGCCAGCTACCCACGCCTTTCAGCTGTTACAAAAGCTTGATTTGAGCCACAACCGGATCAATTTCATTGGCTCGCCCGCCTTGGTGTGGCTCTTTGAACTAAAGTACCTTGACCTGAGCTATAACGACCTCACCTCCCTGCGCCCCGCTCAGCTGCCCTTTTCCCGACGACTGCAGTATATGGATTTGCGTGGAAATCCTTTGACAACGCTGCGCACGGATATTCTCATCTCGAGCATGGCTGCCAACTGCACGGCCATCTACCTTCCATCTGCCTGCGGCAGCCCCTCACCAGGTCGTTGCGATCAGCTACTGACGCCATCGGGATCAACTACAACCCTCGATCCAGCTACAACTACGGCAGTTGACCTTGTCACAACTGCCGCACCCACAACCCCCGACGCACCCGTTTGTCAGTTGGAAGATGCCGCGGTCGCTATGACCTGCCCTGATGCCAGTGCCCAGATTTCATCCTGGCAGTACTGCGACGGCCAACAGGACTGTGCCGATGGGTGGGACGAACACGACTGCTCGCAGCGCTGGTTGACAGCACGATCCAGTCTGCTTGAACCCTGTAGTGATGGTGTTTTATCCATGACCTGGCACCGCGGTCACGCGTTAGCACGCCCGCCCAATGCAAATGCCATGACCGTCTGCATCCCTTTACTTTACACACGCTGGCTTGCCTTTGCGGCAGACACACCCGAATGGAACGCTTCTGCAAGCGTTCACTGGGTGCAAGAGCTGTTTGACGAGCCCGACGGACTCTTCTTCGTCGTCTCCATCGATCGTAGCCGCATTCGCATCGACGGTTCCGTCCAGGGGAGCGTCATCGTTGACACGCTCAATTTCGTACCTGCCCCCACCAACGTGCCCACGACCACGTCCCGTCCAGCTGCCTCGTCGACGACGGCACCTGTAATTGCTGAAGCCCGGGCTTCTCGCTCCGCCTTGCCGGTGATTGCTGCAGCCATCGCAGCGGCCGTGGTGTTAGTCGGCATTATCATCTGGGTGGCCGTGCGTACTCGTCGCAACAGGGATACACAAGTGCCTGAAGACTATGAAACCGAGGCTTTGCAGCTCTTCATCTCGTCCTACCCCCGTGCTGCTCGTGATGTGCCGCACTTGGTACGTTGGTGCCACTCATTTATAGAAGATAATCGTGTCGCGTCGACCGGCGGGATGGGCGTGACAGCCAGAGTTGTTTTTTCTCGCGCCTGCTTCCGCTTGCTCACACTTGAACCAACCCTTGAACGTAACCCATTGGGTGGCCACATAGTCGGCCGAATGGTCCGCTTTAACAGCACGACCCGGGTTGTGGACTGCCAATGGCACCACCCGTGTTTTAGAGCACCAACCCTTCGCTCAACACTACATGCTTGCTGCCACCTCGCCCACCATGCACGTGGCCTTGGCCCTCCCCCGAACGACGGCCACGGTGGAAGAGGAACATGCCGTACTTAGCGCACTTGTGGAAGCGCGCATCCTTTTAACCATGAAGGATCATCCCAATGTCCTGCATCTCGTCAACGTCATTCATGAGCGTCAAAACATCATGCTCGTGCGTTTCACATCCAATATATGCCCCGTTCAAGGTTGCCAATTCTTGACTCATGACATGGACTCTTGACTCTTTTCCAGGTGTATGAGCCAGCACGCCTGGGCGTCTTGAGCCAGGCGTTGAGCTCAACCTCTGTTTCACGTGAACAACAGCAAGCCATTTGTGGCCAAGTAAGGCTTGCACACACCTGCGGGTGCATATGTCTACGGGTACTCACACCCCGCTTTGGTCATGTTGACTTCATGCCATGTGCTAGGTGGCTTCAGCGTGTTCATACCTCGAAAGTTTGGGCATCGTGCATCGAAACCTGGGAGCTCACAGTGTGTACGCCTGCCAATCCATCGACGATGTGCGCCTTGCTGGCTTTGGTATGAAGCTGATTTAGGGCCTACTGAACCTCCGCAGTGTCCTTGGTCGCTCGTTTCCGACTCACGTGCACATCTCCTCTGCGAGCCTGCAGTTATGGCCAAGGATGTCTATTTGACGCAAGAGTACGTCGCGACCGTATCCAAGGGTCGCGCAAAGCTGACACCAGATCGATACTTTTGGAGCCCTGAAGTCTGGCGCGACAGCGTCTTTAGTTTTAAATCCGACGTCTATGCTTTCGGGCGGTACGCATGCACTTTTGGGGCAGGGTAACGTCGGGCCTTGGTGCTTTTGCTTGCAGACGACCTTATGTGACATTCGTAACCCCTGCACTGATGCTTGGGCACAGATTTTGCTGGCAAGTCTGTCATGGCGGCCAGATCCCATATGCCGATATGAGCCCCACAAACTTTGTGCAACAGAGTGTCAATGGAAGTTTGCCAGATCTACCACCCACGGAAAACGAGTTTCTTGAAGACCTGATCAAGAGCTGCACACAGCTTGCCGTCAAAGCGCGACCAACGTTTGCGTTAGTCTTTGCTCGACCGTCCCAAAGACACACGCCATCCTGCCCGCTCACTCCCACCCCTGTACGCTGATTGCTGGTGACAGCACGCTGGCAGCTGCGTTGTGGGAGGATGATATCGATGTGCTGGAGCCCGCTCTCATGCAACGCAATGTGCCTGAAATCGCCGTTTCCCGGTACGAGTATCCCGGAAGGCTTAACAACCATGCCCTATCCACACACGTACCAACTCGTTCCGCTGACCGTGTGCGTCATTTCTGTGTTTGCAATGGCACGCGCAATCATAGGCTCAATCAAATGGATGGTTTGGAGAAGGTCTACGATGTCGATGGCCAGCTGGTGTGTGATCGTTGTTCACGGACGTCGCTGCATTTGTGCATGGTAATTCCATCTCAAACAACGATTGTTTTGTACGCACAATAGATGGAAAGCATTGCATATGGGCCTACGGACGCCGTCCTGCGCGAGGTACGGCCAGTATATGCTGGGCCGGACGATTTTGTCGCCTGGCCTTGATCAATTGGCGACTCCTCTGTTTTTTTTTTGACATGTCCCTTTGAACCTGGTCGCAGCTATCTTTTCGTGTCAAACTAGATTCGGAGGGCCTCCCAGCAGTCTTGGGCACCGTCACCTTTGGCCAAAACACAATGCTGCTGGCAGAGTATCTGGCAGTGCCCATGGCCAGCCAACTCAATGCCGAATTGGACGGCGAGATGGCCTTCCGTTGGCTTCGTACGGTGCTGGGCACCCTCGAGTACCTGAGCTCGCGCAACATTCACTTTATGACGGTGCAATTGGAGGATTGTCGATTGACATCGACCAACCAGGCCAAGATTTGCAACTGCCCTTTTCGGCCGTCTTCTGACGGTGGAGGTGAAGCCTCTGTTGCCAAGGCAGCCGGTGGTCTGATCTTGGATATGTGTCAGTTCGTACCGACTATTGACTCCCCCGAACTTCGACAGCTGGGCGAGGTGATGAAGCGTGGGCGCCTCAAAAAGTGCAGTGATGTCATGTTGGCGATCCATGCAGCTGACCCACACCGACAGCTTGAAGTGGATGCCGATCGCTTGACCTTTGTGCGCCAACTAGGCGAGGGTGAATTTGGCGTCGTGAGCGTAAGTTGACATGGCTGAGTCACCCTTTTTTTTTTTTTTTTTTTTTTTTTTTTTTTTTTCTTTCAGCAGAGCAATGCATGCGATGGTAGTTGCGATAGCCCGGACGCTCACCTTGCGTCGCCCGCACTGCACTTGTAGCTGATGACACTCCTTACCACGGAGGGCTCCCGACATGTGGCTGTCAAAACGCTGCATAACATGACCTTTATGGAAGACTTCAAGTCTGAGGTTGCCATGATGATCAAGCTGCGGCACCCCAACCTTGTGGGTCTGCTGCACACCACAAGCTTTGGCGCACGCGAGCCGGCCATGATCCTCGAGTACATGCCCGGGGGCTCTCTTGAGACCTGGCTTCAAGAGCGAGGCCGAGGCACGGGCCCAGAGGACCTGTTATATATCGCCCACCAGGTACTGCATCAGTCCGCAGGCCCAAATCGCAGCCCCATCATGGCCATCGCTCGGCAACCTCTGATAGCACGGTGGTGTGTTCGTAGGTGACCAATGGCATGGCTGAGCTGGCAAGACTGGGGATTGTACATCGCGACTTGGTGAGCGGGGCGTGTCTTCCGCGAGCGTGTCTACTGCATCGTCTTCAACTTGGGCTATTCTCAATGTGTTTGTCATTCCAACCTCGCGTGTGCTGGGTCTGTTGCGCGCCAGGCGGCCCGAAATGTTTTGGTTGGCCGCTGTCTCAACGTCAAGGTGGCCGACTATGGATTGTCGCGCACCATGACTATCGGGATCGCCTCTTCGGAAAGCTACTATCGCATCAAGACCTCGCGGCCTCTTCCCATTCGCTGGATGGTGAGGACATGTGTCGTTTAGAGTTCAGGAGCTCCGCTTATCCTTGCCCGATGATCAATGCTTAAAAGAGAAACGTTATCACACCCACTCATCTGGATTGATGATTGTTTCGATGTGTGCTTGTCAGGCACCATCCTCAATCTTGGATCAGAAAGTTTCGACGCAAACGGACGTGTGGAGCTTTGGCTGCCTTTGCTATGAGATATGGAGTTGCGGTCAGGTCGGTTTGATTGCGATTGAACCAGTCAGTGAGATGAAGCCTGGGTTTGATGCTCTCTCTCGCTCATGGAGCCCCTGGCTTTAGATTCCATTTGGCAACTTGAGCGACCCGGAGGTGGTGCAGCGACTTATTCTTGCACAACAAGGGCAGCTGCGAGAAGACGAACCCGTTCTGGCGAGCCCTGCTTCGTGCCCGCCCATGATATCCGCCTTGATGCAGACCTGCTTGACTGTCAACGGCGAGCTCCGGCCCTCCTTTGCCACGCTCAGCAGACGCACACACCCCCAGGTACATGGGTGTTGATCTTTTCCCTCCTTGCGTGTGTGCATTCTGTATTGAAGGGGAAGACTCATACGTGCTTGGCACCATTGCCTTGCCTTGCTAGGAATGGCAAGCATTGCTAACACGGACAGATACACCCAAGCACCCGCTGCTAGCATCTGTGTCGCATCTCTTCTCTGGTCTTGAGCTTGAGGACAACGAAACATGTTTGTAGACCCGCGGCCTGAACCATGATAAGACAAACGAACTTGCGCATCGCGCCCTAATAATACCCCTCGAATTTAAACAAGTTTATTTTACGTGTCGAGCATCATGTCGGAGACGACCGTCTGTCAGCTGGCGTATGGCAGCGCCCTGTCAGAGCTGAAAGCATATCTGACCGCTCATCCTGAGAGCGTAAAGCAGCTTGATGCCGTGCGTAGGCTTGGTAGAGTTGTCATGAGATGGGCAGAGGTGGGAAGCAGCATGTTGTGGGGTTGGATATTGACGTGGCCTTGTTGTGGAATAAACAGGATGGTCGGACGGCACTGCACTGGGCAGCCTCCGGAGCACGGGGCGACAACTTGGCATACTTGCTGAGCCTGGGCGCCGACGCTAATGCGCGTGACGAGGTTGGGCATCTTGCACCTTGCTGGCTCGACTTGCACCAGCCATCCATCCACGTTGTAGGCACAGTAATATTTGCGATGATGGCGACCCGCAGGCGGGCTGGACACCGCTGCACATTGCTGCTTCCACTGGACACTTGGCACCGGTCAACGACTTGTTGAGAGCAAGGTCAGGATTTATGTTGAAAGGCAAAGCATGACCGAGTGAGCAAAAGGTAGACGAGACACGCCTGATGTCGACCTTTGATGCGTTGGGCTCGGCAGGGCGGATGTGACGGCCGTGACCGACCAGGGATTGACCGCACTACATTACGCGGCAAGCAAGAACCATGAAGATGTACGGTAACCACCAGCTGCGATTTTTTTTTGAATCCATCGTTTCAAGGGTGTTTGATGTCTCACGACAGGGGATTGAGGACAGGTTGTGCGGGCGCTGCTAGGAGCCCATGCCGATGTCAACGCAACAGATCGCCGTGGCAGTACGCCGCTTCACCGAGCAGCGGGTCGAGGACATTTGCGAATGGTTCGCCTTCTTCTCGAGCATCGTGCTCGCAAGACGACCCGAGACAGCTTCAAAGCCACGCCCCTGTACGCGCTCGCTTGCTGTGCGCGCAACATGGCGTGCTGGTCCTGTTATTTTGGTGCCTGACTTGGACGTACCTGGTGGGCTTGCAGGCATTTGGCGGCGGAAGAAGGACATCTTGAGGTGTGCATTGAGCTTGTGAAGGCCGGAGCTCAGACAGACTGTCGCGATGCGGAGGAGCACACGCCACTGGAAGTAGCACCACAAGGCCTGCGGGTGCAGCTGCAACGTCTGTTGGACGAGCTGGCTTGAGCACGCCTCCCCAAGCATTGAGTATGGTGCTTATTTCTCCGCCACGTGAGCGGCCGAGCCGCAAGTGTTCCCAGCGCGTTGTCTTACGTAGCCCCGCCCCTTCCAAGAAGTGCTCGTGACAAACTCCTGATGGCTTGATGAAATCAATTAACGAAATACAGAAACGGGGTGCATTCCAGCGATGAGACTATCAAAAGCAAGAGCCAGGCTGCTCGGGCTGGGTCGTCTTTGTTCATAGGCCTTCAGGTGTTGTTGATCTGGAACTTGAGATTGGGCCAATGGCACGCGCTCAGGTGTGCTTGGATTTGGAATGGGTGGGTTGAGGCAGTGAGCCCTGGGTAAGGACGGCTGCCGCGGCAAAGACCAGAGCGGCGCTAGCAAGACCCACGGAAGCATAGCCGTAGTGAGCCAGCAGATGACCGCCAATGGAAGGCGCAAGGAGGCCTGTGGCTGAACGGAGACTGTGGCTGATCGACACGGCTGTCCCAGCCTCTTCCTTGCCAACCGAATTGCTGAGGGCCGAGCCGGAGATGGTGTAGAGCAGCGTGGAAGCCAACGAAATGGGCACCAACAGGAGCAGCAGCGTCCAAAACTGGGTGACCTGCGGCATGGCAAGGAAACAGCATCCCATGGCGCCCACGGCGCCCACAAGCAGTTGTTGCTCGGAGAAGCGAGATCGAAGAGGAGCAATGAGCAACGTGTTGCTGAGTAGCGCCATGACGGCGCCCAAGGAGGTGGTCAGTCCTGTCGTGGAAGTCGGGAAAAAGTTGGCGTGCATGAGACAAAACAAGACAGACGGCTGGCACGAGGTCTGGTCAGCTGTGCTTCTTTCTGTCAGCGGGAGACAAATGTCCAACATCAGAATGGATGATGGGAGGATGAGCGCACATACCGGCCTGGGATTCATTGAGGTGAAAATGGTCGGCCAGGACGACGCTGAACTGGCTGCGATTGATGGAGATGCCAAGACCAGCAATGGCCACGGCCAGTGCCAACGGGTAAACGGTGGGACGGCGACACATGGCCAGCGCAGCGCCAAAATCAATGCTGGGACCCTTGGTGGGGCCAGAGGAAGGAGACACTGGCGTGCGCGAGGTGACGGGCATGTAGAGCAGGCTGACAAGTGTCATGGCAAAAGACAGACCGGCGGCCAAATAGCCGACAAAAGCGTGTCCTAGGTGAGAAGCCAAGATTCCCCCCGCTGACGAGCCTAGCAGCATGCCGATGCCGTAGGACACGCTAAGGCGCCCGAGGGCCACGGCGCGTGTCTGCTCTCCGACAAACTGGGGCATGGCACCTGCAAAGAGGGTGGTATCGCGGGACACGCAACGAGAGATAAGCTGATGAGCATTGTAACGTCGTTTGCCTGCCAAAATGGCTGGGCGGAGATGTGTGCGAGTCAGCTCACCTTGAGCGCAGAGCATGCAGGCCATAAAGACGACGGGGATCCGTGAGAGAAAGAGGAGGGTTAAATTGGTGGAGAGGGCCAGCATCAGATAGGCAAGACCCGTTCCTGCGGGGTAGGTGGATCAAGTTGCAAAGCAACAGGCGAGATCAGGTGGTATCACCGCGCATGGTCGACCCTAGTGCGCGAGGTGCTGGAGTTATCGATGCCAGCACGGTACAAGCAACGTACCACCCTGAGCGATCATCATGGCAAGGCCCGGTCCAAATCTGTCAATGACCTGACCAAAGCCCAAGCTGAAGCCAGACAACGATTAGTCACCAGTTTGTGTGGACCGCGTTGCAAGCACAGCGTCCGATGGGAAGGCTGGCTCACCTGGAGACGATTTGCGCGGCTTCGAGGGCTGATTGCAGGTAGCCAAACGTGATGCGATCCGCGCCGAGATCTTTGCTGAGGTAGGGCAGCAGCGGCGAGGTGAGCCAAAAGGCTGCTGCATCTGTGAGAGCCAACGAGGGAAAGACATTATGAGGAGTATTCAGCTGGGTGAGGCATTGGGCTCAAGCGGCATCGTATTCCAGCAGGGGTCGGCGCAGTTTGGGCAAAACGGACAAACGGCAATGTTCGCGTGCAGCAGCAGCACGGCACCCAAGCCACCACGCGTCCCGCTGCGAGACCCTTTCTTGCTCCCATCTCCCTCCACCTGCCCGCCCCGACCGCGCCCCAACGACGAGGACGCCGCAGCAGCCCCGTCATCATCGCGGCCATCGCTGCCGGCGCGCACGCCCAGTGCACGTTCAAGCCATAAGACCGATGTCGTCATCTTGATGCTGCTGCTGCTGCTAAAATGTCAGATATTTTTGTCAGATTTATGGGTATTGATTGCGACATCGGGGGCGGTTGGTCAGGTCTGGATGATGCAATCGGGAATTGTCAGAAGAACGGGTAAACACAACTGGTGTTGCTGTCATTGCCGCGCCTTGTGCGTTGAATGACAGCTCTTTCTCGGTCTCTGTCTCTGCCTCTGTCTCTGTCTCTGTCTCTGTCTCTGTCTCTTGTCTCTGTCTCTGTCTCTGTCTCTTGTCTCTGTCTCTGTCTTTGTCTCTGTCTCTGTCTTTGACTCTGTCTCTGTCTCTGTCTTTGACTCTGTCTCTGTCTCTGTCTTTGACTCTGTCTCTGTCTCTCTCTCTTCCTATCTCTTCCTCTCTTCCTCTCTCTTCCTCTCTCTCTCTCTCTCTCTCTCTTTCTCTCTCTCTTTCTCTTCCTCTGTCTCTCTTTTCCTCTGTCTCTCTCTCTCTCTCTTCCTCTCTCTCTCTCTTCCTCTGTCTTCCTCTCTCTTCCTCCCCTCTCTCTCTCTCTCTCTCTCTCTCTCTCTCTCTCTCTCTCTCTCTCTCTCTCCAAGAGCGTGAACTTTCGTTACTCACTCTTCGACCACCAAAAACGGCAGCCCAAGCCGGCACAGTGACAACAAATCCAGCACCGTGTCCACCGCCAGCACACCCAAACCGCATCACCACCACCCTGCCTTTGCCCCTGCCATTCATCAACCCCCGCTTCCCTTGTTCCCCTCTCTCCCTCTCTCTCTATACAACGTTTGCCAATAGCGAGCAACACACACACACACACACACACAAAACGATTCCCAGCTGTACACGAGGGCACATCTACTTAAAAAGCCATTTTAGCTTACGAGGGTATTGAATTTCCCACACGTGTCCTTCAACCCTTTGTTCCCTTTTAGTTTCCCTCTCTCTCTCTCTCTCGCTCTCTCTCATGGAAACGGCAGCGCCAACGGCCTGAGCGCCCCGACTGGAAAGCTGCACTTGATCCGCGGTTCAGTGATCCACAGACCGTGCTGGGTCTCTACGTCTTTGCTTGGTGGGGGTTTGATTGGCCACCAGCTGCGGCAGCGTGGAGGATCGTCGCGTTGGTTGGAGCGGTCGGTCGCTGAAGAAGATCCTGACACACACACACACACACACACACACACACACACGCAGAGCACGGACGTACGCACGCCGTTCCAGTGTGTGCGCGGCCGCTCCTCGGAGACGGAGCAGCGTGTTTGGACGGCAGACTCGGCACCTGGGACAGTTTGTTGAGACTTGGAGAATTTTCACTTGCAAGCGAGGACGCTGCGACGTGCTTGGACTGCTGCTGCTGCCGCTGCCGCGCACACCGCCTGCTCCACCCGATCACTGAGTTTTCAGCTCAAACTCAGTCAGGGCACTGCCACTACATACCGCTAGCTCCTCTCCCAGACACATACAGACGCGCACGCACGCACGCACGCACGCATACAGTTTGTGTTGCTGCCCGGCACGCCTGCTGCGCCCCCTCGTCTCAGCTCGGCTTGCTTCTATGGCGTATCTTCTGGATTGAGACGTCCTCCGACCTTGCTCGTAGCCCGCCATGGAGACAATGGACACGACGTATCACACGAGCCTGGAGTCATCCACCACCACCACCACCACGGCTCTTGTAAGTCTGCTCAGTTGCCGTTCGCCTTTGAAGCCTGTTTGTCCACGTTACCTCGCTGCCGTTTTTGGCCCAGTGTTCTTCAAAGCACGGGCAGCCTTGGCACCTGCATGGGTCCGCCTCATCATCGGCACCCAATCCCCAATATCACACCAACTCCCATCATCCGTCCCCTCCCCCCTCTTATCCACCTCTTTCCTCTCTTTTTGCCGGTTGCTTGTTGTCTGCCCCTCGAATGTGTCTCCTGCTTTGTGGATTGTCTTGTCCGAAATGACGCGCTGCCCTCCCCCTTGGCTGCGTGCACCTGTGTCTCACCTCTCCGACTCATATTCATGCGCGCTTGCTCGCCGTGCTCCACAACCAGGTTTCAAATGTCATGGCCGTGCCCAACTCCAACGCCACGATATCGCCTGCCACCAATGCCGCGCTGATTGATCGTTCACAGAGTATGCCCTACAAAGCCTATTCGACCGAATCCACGTCTAGCCAACATTTCTCCACCACCCCCGTGGCCAACAGCAACAGCATGAGCATGGCTGCTCGCACGGGTCTCTCCAGCTCCCTGCCCAAGCTCGATGATGGGCCGCCCCCGCTCATTCATTACTCCCGCGTGCGCAGCATCTCCGTCACCCGCGAACCAGCCGCCACCTCCTCCGCCGCAGCCAAGCGCTCCAGCAACAGCCGTCGCAACTCGTCCCACACCGCCGTTGGGCGCGACCTTGCAGCCCTGCAGCTTGCCGACAATAAACCCGCTCCGGGAAGCCCCGAGTATAGCCTGCAGTTCCAAGCCGTCAACGCCGAGACCACCCGCTTTCCTTTCAAAAATGCCAAGCCACCCTTGCAAAAAAGTGCCTCCACCACTGGTGGCTTTGTTACCGCTGGGGCCCCGCCCACGTCTTCCGTTCCCACAACCACCTCTTCTGTCGCTGCTGCTGCTGCTGCCGCCGCCGCCGCCGCTGCTGCCGCTTCTGCCCCGTCAACAACGCCGGGTACCATGAGTGTTCCCCCACGCATGATGCCCGCCGGTGTGCCTGCCCCCATGATGACGAGCGCCATGACGGGTCCACGCCCACCACCTCTGACAATGCATGCCTACCCTGGAACCATGCCAGGAACCATGACCGGCCCTGGTACCATGGCATCGCGCTTCCCAATGCCTGGTCGCTCCACGTTCCATCACAACACCAAATCCCGCAGCTGCACCTTCCCTGGCTGCACTGGCGAGGGCAACATTAGCTCTCGTTTCAAGCGACATTCCACCATCAATGCGTGTCCCCTCTATCGCGCCCAGCAACGAAACAAGGACCGTGACAAAGAGAGAACCTCAATGTCCTGCCCGCCCTCCATGCCACCCTCCCCATCCCACCGCAACCGCAGTACTTCTTTGTCCGTCGCCCCCGCCAAAAAGACCTCCCCACCACATAGCAAGCGCAAGTCCAAGCTACAGCGCAGTCTGCGCCAGCGCACAAAGTCCAGCAGCAGTGGACCTTCTCGCTCCCTCAGCCTCGTGGCATCCCCTTCCATGGACCACGCCAAGGACTCGTTCTTTGGTGCCGAGGGACTCTTGGATTTTGATACCCTCATGAGCGGCGCCGAAGACAGTCTGACAGGCTTTGAAGACCCGCTGCACGATACCTCGCACCCCGTCTCCAGGTCAGTTTGCATCGAAGCTCGCACAAGTGCTTGCACCAACTTATTTTTCTTCTCGTCTGATTTGTGGATTTATTCGTATCGGTGTTTGGTTCTGGGTCTGGGTCTGGGGTCTGGATCTGGATCTGGGTCTGGATCTGGATCTGGGTCTGGATCTGGGTCTGGGTCTGTCCGTGCCTGTGTCCGTCTGGGTCTGGGTTTGCCTGTCTGTTGACTGGAATGTGATCGCCGAATGGTGTTTTTGTGGTTATTCTTGGCCTCGACTGATTGGAATTTGTATTCTGGTTGTCAACTCCCTCAGCGATGTGCAAGCATTGGACCTCGCTCATGCCGAAGATGATATTGAATCATTGCTCTCTGCTCCGGCTCTCTTCTTGGAACAAGAAGCTTTTGCTCTGAGCGGCTCGCCCTCCACGTGGGATGGTGATGACGCCATGTTCAGCAGCTCACTCTTTGCTTAGTCGGACAAAACGTGCGCGGCCACGGGAGCCGCCTCAAGCAAAGCCTAGCCAAGCAACACATGCAACCATCTGCGCGAGGTGGCACTGCTGCGGGTGTTGTTTTTATTGAAAGGCACATCTGCCTCGACTCGAATACCGTACTCTTTTTGTTTGAAAGCCCTGTGGGCATGGCCATACGTCTGGTGCCAAGTTTTTCTTGGCATGGTGCCTCGACCAAATGACTCACGTGATGGTGCAAAGCCACATTTAAAAAAAAATGATATCTAGCGAGACAGATACACACCTATCAGTGTGTGTGCATGTGTCTGTGTCTGTGCGCGTGTTCGTGTTCGTGTTTGTGTTCTTGTCCGTGTCTGTGATGCTTGTTCGTTCTTTCTCAAACTCCTTCGACAATCGACAATCTTCGTAAGTGCCATCACCATTTTTGTATCATAAGGAGGGCGTGGAAACACACCAAAAGACATCGACATGGATTGACATGCATTCGCTTCTTGCTTCCTTTCCATCCGACATGCTAGTTCGCTTACGCCAAGGTGTCATGAATCAGATGGAGATGGCCTCGACCCGCCGTGGATCCCTTTTCTTTCTTCCCTTTTTTCTCTCCACAACCACACTCCTCCAAAAATCCCACTGACCTTCCTGATCCCGTACACCACCACCCCCCCCCCCCAC